ATCAATAAACATTACAATGCTTTCATATGCAAAATATCAAATTCTTTTATAAAGTCTTAAGGTTTGTAAAGCAATGTTTTTCTCGTGCCTTTTTTTTTTTCACATCTTGCCTATCCAACATGCAAAGTAATTTTCATTTTAAGATTAAAAATTCTTTAATGCATCAGAAAATTTTCAAATTTCACATGCAATATCTTTATAATGTCCAGATAGTTATCAAACATTTTTTAAGAAAAAACTTTATATTTTTATTTGTTATTTTGAGTAACAAATCTCTGTATGGATTTTGTAGATTTGACCAATCTCGTAACAACCATAAAAAATTAGGAAATAAATATAAGTTATGTCTTTTTCATTATAGAATGATAACAGATTATAACACGAAAACATAAGTGTTTAGGCTAAATAGCTTAAATCTCATGACATTATACATATATACATTTATTATTTTTATTATATTGACCTTTTTTTTAGGTTTTATATATACAGGTGAATAACCAAAAAATCATAAATTACTATATCAATACCATATAATTCCACTATAATTTATCAACCATAGTAACTGAGCTATATATCAGTCTAAAAAAATATGAAATTTCGAGTAGACTAAAGACACAACCTACCTTCTTGAAATCTTGGTTTGAAATAACTAAATGGCATTCTAAGAACTTAAAATGGCTAAGAAAGCCACTAGGGAGACATTCTGAGTTTGCGATCAGTTATTCATGTTATATATATATGTAGGAGTAAGTTTATATAAGGGAGCATTTCCAAAAATGAAAAGAGGTGGGCGGGGTGCCACTGCGTTTGATTTATTACATGAGCAATATCTTAGCAAATAGAAAAGATAAGAGGTTCTTATTTTATATTCTAGCTGGTCAGTATTGGTAATTGGAGTTCCTTATTTGTAAGAAACTATAGACTTAATATTTTGACATCACAAACATCTAATTTGAACCAGTGCTGCATTCAACATACCATGTGGCACACAAAAATCAATGTTTAATTTTTTTTTTATAGTTACTTTTAAATTAAGAAATTGAGTAATGTATGATATTAAAATTTGAATTATAATCTATAGTTTGATAACAAACTTATTGACATAAAGTCATAAAATAGTAGTTCAATAAAATTTTGAATGCGAGTCAACAAATAAGATGAATCGTCTGGAAATGGTTAATATTCATGAAAATCAACAAAGTTATCTCTGTAAACTTTTTTATGGTAATATAGTATTATTAACCTTCCTTACATTTTAAGATACTGCAAGATAGCAAGTATGATTAAAAAATTCAACTCTTCATATTCATAAGTTGATGAAATACAAATATATGTTTTTCTCACTGTGGAAGTGATAGTGAATTACTCGCATAACTTACTTAGGGACCCACTTTCTTATTTATAAGCTGAAAATTTTGAATTTCCAGAGATATTTTGACTGTTTCGTTTTTGTGTCTTAACTATTTTTTATCTTGGACATTGTTATTGCATTCTATGCCTTTTAAGTTTCATCAAACTATATGTTTGATCACAACACTCTGTCTTGTTCAGTTAGCTGTAAGGTATTTGTTTAAGGCATGATAAATTTAATTGAGGTACTGGAAATATTGCTAGAGAATAGCATCTAAGGAGAATGTAATAGCAAGTTGGAAATTGTCAATTTAACTTATTCTGAATTAAAAATATATTTATACTCTCTTCTCTTAGGGTTATTTTATAGTTTAAAAGAGTGGAAAAAAAGGCTAGATATTTGTAGTGAAACTTAGAAATTGCAGTTGAATTTAATTTAGTCAGCATTAAAAGAAAAAACATAATAGCATTCAAGATTGACAAATCAGGTATTGAAAATTGAGAACAAAATGCATAAATAATTTATTTCTACCATTAAACATATAAGTATAGGTAAATGTTTGGTTGTTACAAAAGAAATGTGAAATTTTCCTAGATTTGAGCAAAGAACCAGAAGCTGCAGTTTGTTTAGAAGAGTATGACTAAGTCTGAAACTGAGTTCAATGAATTTTAAAGTTAAGCAGACAAAAACAATTATGGTTGTAACAAAGGGAAGACTGGAACAACTTTTTGAATTAAGGTTCTAATCGTTGATAGTACTAACTTACACAATTTACTGACGATGCCACCTTAAATACTAGTTTGTATTAGATTGAAAACTTTTATTTTACACAAAAAGTTGTTGCTTAATTAAACAAAATAAATAAACAGCAAAATAAAATAGAATAACACTAATAGGTTGATTAGAAAATAAATATGGACCTTCAATTGTAACAAAACATAACAAGAGAGCATTATTATCAAAATCTTTTTTAACAAAACTGTTGATTAATTAAACATATACCTCTTGGGAAAGGAAGAGGAGTTTAGAGTTATACCAGTGCCCTTTTTTCAACATTAAAATATTAGTTTTAGTGTATATTTTATGTTTCTTACCTATTCTACTCAACCCCTCTTGCATCTTGTATGATAGACTAGACATTCAGTATATTTTATTGAAGTAATACATCTGATAAATGTACCACCCTGTACTTCACCATAATAGTTTGCTCCAATGGACAGAAGAAGCTACTATGTACAACGTTTTGTTTAACCCTTTTGAGATGAGTCATAGGTATCGTCTTGTTTGTTTACTCACAATCAAAATTTTATTGAACTACTATTTCAGGAATTTGTCAATAAGTTTGGTATCAAACTGTAGAATATAATTCAAATTTTAGAATTATACATTACTCAATTTCTTAATTTAAAAGCAAATATTAAAAAAAATCTAAATAAAATCTAAATAATTATTATCTAAATAATAAGTCTACAGTTTTGTACGAATTAGAAACTCAAAGTACAGATATTGACAAGCTGGAATATAAAATCAGAAGGTCTTATCTTTTCTATTTGCTAAGATATTGCTCATGTAATAAATCAAATGCAGTGGCACCCCACCCACCTTTTTTTTCATTTTTGGAATCGCTCCCTTATATAAACTTACTTCTCTATGTGACATGAATAACTGATCAAAAGCTCAGAATGTCTCCCTAGTGGCTTTCTTAGCCATGTTAAATTCTTAGGATGCCATTTATTTATTTCAAACCAAGATTTCAAGGAGGTAGCTCAGAATGTCCCCCTAGTGGCTTTCTTAGCCATGTTAAATTCTTAGGATGCCATTTATTTATTTCAAACCAAGATTT